GATCTGTCAACCAGGATCCCCGTGATCTCTGATCTCATATTTACATTCACACAAAATTTTGAATGGTATTTGAGCTTGCTGTGTGTTAAACCATGTACTTACATTTAAGGTGGGTACCCCAATAGTACATGATTGATAATGACAAGACTAGGGAAACACTTACTTTTAAGGATAAGTTATGACCAAGAAACGTGTTGGTCATGAAGTTGTAATTCATAGACTTGCTTTGAATGTGTTGGATAAAAAGATTCCTTTCAAGTTTCAAAGGAAACAATTTCTCGTTATGACTCTGTATGGAATAATGATGAACAAAAGTCAGGGACAATCTCTATCACACGTTGGACTATTGCTTAAAAACTCCGTCATTAGTCATAATCACTTTTACATCGCTTAATTTCTCCCGTGTGAGAAATCAAGAACGATTGAAAATCTTATTTTGCAATGAAGAAAATAATACTTGAGACTACACTTCAAAATAATATTGTGTATAAAGAAGTACTCCAAAATTTATAACTTTTTATATTTGTATCATGTACTTTTAAATTATCTAAATTAAAACACTACAAACGTGATTAATTTCTAAATAGATAACACTTCGATTTGGTGTAAAGTTTAATAAAATTCGTTTTCAGTGTTGCTGTATTTGCGTGTTGTAACTTCTTTACATAAATTATTTGTATATTATCTTGATCGTGCCACACACGAGTAAAATCTAGTTTTATTTAATAAGCCTAATCTTGTTGATATTCATAAATAATAAAGAAATTTGGACCGGAGTCATGTAATATTTTTTCATGAACATTTGTGCTTAGTTGTTTGGAATAATGGAGAAGATATCAATTTTGCCCCATTCATTCTCCACTTCTTTAATTCTCCACCTTTTTCTATGTTCTCCCCTTTTTACTAATTGAAACAAATTTTTTTAGGGTTGTTCTTGCGTGCTCCTAAGGTTCACGTCAAAAATATGAACTTTTTACATTTTTTATGAGTTGACAAGTGAATTTTATTTTTAAAAGGTCAATATTTTACGATATCAATGTATAAAGGTTTATAAAATGAAAATGCACATTAGCACCACACACAAGAATTTCCCATATTTTTATAAGCCAAAAATAATTAGTTCTCCACCTTTTTCCAAGTTTCTGCTTTTTACTACATAAAACAATTACAGAATAATTTTGTTCCAAAAATGTTTATTTTGAAGAAATGAAAAAAGTACATTTGATTATATTGTGAACTTAATAGAATTGGATTCATTTTCTATGATGCAGTTTTGATATATCAAGTTTATTTATAATATTTATATACGTATAATTTTAATTATTAATGGTCAAAGTGTCATATTGATAACCATAAAACAATAAATATAACTTTTTAGGCGGTGTAATTTCTATAAGCAAAAGCTATTATAGTCCATTTTTATTTTTTAGAAGGTAGATAGATTATTCTTTCATATTACTATTTACGTATATGGATATACGTTTTAAAATATAATTTCATCTACAATTCTACGAACATATATTGAGTATGAATGGTTCTGAATTAGGTCTAAGAGTTGAATAAGGTGTAATATAATTTCATCTACAATAAGAATAAGTTGTAATCAGATCAGACTAGAAAGAACTTTAAATATAATTACATTCTCATCGTATCAGAACCATTCATATCACGAGTTGAATAAGGTGTAATATAATTCCATTCACCTTCAACTCTTAGACCTAATTTTTTTCTAAAAAATGAAATATACACCTTATTCTTATTGTAATCAGATCAGACTAGAAACAACTTTAAATATAATTACATTCTCATCGTATCAGAACCATTCATATCACGTAAAGAGTACATGACCTAGCTCTCAGCATAATTATCAAGAATTAAATTCGGATGTTAACTTCTGGGGATTTGCTAGGTGCATCTCAAGATGGTGTGCTCCAGGTGTACACCAACAGACACTCACTACCTGTGTTTCACATAGATAGTGCGTATTTGTGTGTAGAGGTGGTAATTGGGTCAATCGGATCGGTTTTGAGTTAGATTTTTTCGGTTTGGATAACTTTCGGATATATGTTATAATCATTCAATTCGATTCAGATCAGTTTAATTTCGATCGGATTTGATTTGGTTATATACATTTTTCAGTTCGGTTCAGTTTCAAGTCGGTTTAGATACGGTTTAGTTATAATCGGTTCGGACAAATTTTGGTTCAGATACATTTTGAGTCGGATATATGTCAGTTTCAAATCTAGTTCGGCTCAGATATATTTCGGTTTCGGATCAAATATATTTTGGATATGTATTATTTTCTAATTAAAATTTAATTATCAATGTTTATTTTTATGCTTTATCACATTTATCAATCTATCATAAATTCAATACCTCATATTATTTTATATTTTTTTTCTAATTATAGTATCTCTACCCTAAATAATCTTCCCTTTTTGACTTTTTTGTCATATTTTACAAATTTGGACTACAAATTATGAAAAACTATATATTTAATTATGATATAAATTTAATATAATTAAATTGATTTTAAAATTTAGTTTGGATATATCAAATTTTTCTCACATCTACTAATATATTTATGTATATAAATGAAAAGATAAAAGATAAAAGATAAATTCAAAAGTGTTACGTTCAAATTGAATACAATTTGGTAAAAATTGAGTGAAATTGGATGAAATTAAGTGAATTTTATTCAATTGAGTGCAAAATTTATAAATTAGTTGAGTGTATTTGGTTGTTATTAGATAAAATTAAATTTAATAGAGTCAAATATAATTAATGTTACACCTAAATGTAATGGTGTAGATCAATTTTGAAAATTATAACACTAAATGTTGCCGCTAGAGAGTCTTTTCAAAGTGCTAACACTAACATCTAATGTTATTGACTAATATTGAGTGAATTGGTTTGAAACTAATCAAATTAACTCCAAAACCAATAATTTTTTTATTTGTAATTTGATGAAATTAAGATAAAATCTAGTTATTCCATACAATTCATCATATAATCTTTTCGTCCCAAAAAGAATATCACACTACACTATTTAAAAATTACGGAAATTTTATTTGTTTGTGCGTTATCATTTATTATTTGATAAAATAAACAATTATTCTTGTAACATTTTATTATGTAAAAGTTTTGATGTATTTTTTAAATATTTTGACTTTTTTTATTTCTATGCCCATCTTTAAATAAAATAAATTTTTAAAACTTAAAATTTTTGCTTTGTTTTGCGTTACGTAGCATTCTTTCTAATATGGAGGGAGTTTTTTCTTCAAAATAAGATTGTTTTAATTAGATTTTGAAACTTAAGACTGAAATTACTACTCTATTTTTCATATAATATCTAATCAAAGACTTCATTTTTTTAATCAAGTTTCTTATGCTCAAAATTTCCCCCATTCCTTTTCACTTTCTCTGCTAAATCTTATCAATTTTCTTATGCCACCATTCAGCTCATTTCTCAATTTCCATTCACCTTCAACTCTTAGACCTAATTTTTTTCAATTGATGCTCCACCTTGTTTTTCAAATATTTTATTCCCTTTAATTTTGTTAATAATAAAATAGTTGGCTCACTTTATTCATCTAAAATTTTAAATGTATAACTTATCTTCAATTTCTAAATATAATAAATTTAAGGCATGAGATTTTGTAATTTTTTTCAAGATGATAATCCATTTTATGAGGGAATGGGCAAGTAATGTAATTAGTTCAAATGGTAAAATAAAAGTAAAAATTTAAAAATATAATATGCGTATGGAAAGGCAAACAAAGTTCCGAATTTATCAGTTTTAGTTCTAATCGGGTTCGGATATTATCAGTTTCAGATCTAATTAGTTTCAGGTTTTATCGGTTTCGGGTATTATCGATTTTAGATCTAATCGGTTTCAGGTTTAATCTGTTCATATATTTTCGGTTTCGGATCTAATCGATTTTGGATTTAAATCGGATATAAATTATTTAGTTTGGTTTCAGTTTGATTTAGACCATTTTGGATTTTCGGTTATATATCGGATCTTAATTTTTTGGTTTCGGTTTCGAATAATTCGATTCGGGTAATCAGTTCCATTTCTGTTTTCCCGAATCTATTTGTGTGCCTCTATGAGAAAGTGGTGTAAATAGAGGAATGCTAGGGGTACACCTTTTCAAAGGTGTATCCCATTTGTCCCCCACCCCCTTCTACACCACACATTTTTATTTTATTTTTAATTATTTATTTATTTTTAAATTTTTTATCCATTTATATGGTGGAGGAGGGATAAAGGACAAATGGGGTAGACCAAAATGTAGCCCTAGCATTTTTCGTGTAAATATGGTGCGCACCACCTTTGAGTACTTTTGGTTTTTTCCTAGGATTATGCTATGTGTACCCCAAGTCTTGTACCCCAATTTGTACCCCACAGTTTTGCACCAAAACTTTGTATTGGTGTAAAACTAATTTTTGTTAAACGCACCAACATTTGTGTCCGTGTAAATTTTTATTAACGCACCAACACTTGTGTCGGGGTAAACCATCGAAATGTTTGTGCAAACCTGTGGTGTACAAATGGGGTATATTTTTTGGTGTAAGTGTAGCATGGTCCTTTTTCCTAACTTCTTACTGCCTCTTGTGTTGTCAACCCCATAACGTCCCCGGACACATGGCCATTGTTTGATTTGCTTCACTTTCACCCTGTGGTCAATTTTTTCTTCCATAAAGCTATATGTACCACATATTTTTGTACCCCACTTGTATCCCGCAGGTTTGCACCAACACTTTGTGTTGGTGTAAAACTAATTTTTATTAATGCACCTACACTTTGTGTCCGTGTAAATATTTTTGTTAACGCACCAACACTTGTGTCGGTGTAAACCATCAAAATGTTTGTGTATAATTGGGGTGTACAAATGAGATACAATTTTGTGGTGTAAGAGTAGGAGGACCGATTGTGGAACACGCTCTTCCTTGTTTATTTGTTTCTATACCAACCGCGAGTCCGCGAGACTCTCGCCGAAAGCTAAGTGAGGTCCCTTCAACCTTCCCCCCCTCATTTGGCCATCTCCTCTCTCTCTCTCTCTCAGTATATGCACACGCCTGATTTCTTTGCCTTCTGTACAAGCCCTTAGGTAACTCAGCTACGCTCCGATTTTTCTGCTCGCTTATCGATCTATCGATTGTTAGTTGGAGGCGGAAACGAAGAAATGGGGATGTTCAAAGTTAGCAACGTTGAGACCACGCCATTCGATGGCCAGAAGCCTGGAACTTCAGGCCTTAGGAAGAAGGTTTGCGCGCTCGATCACTGATTTATTATTTTTTAAATGTATTTAGTTATTAATTATTACTTGTATTATCATTAGGAATCGGTTAAAACCTGATCTGATCCAATCGTATCCCTTAAGTCTGCTTGAAATCACCTCCTCTTTTGGTGGTTTTCGATTTTTTCTACTTCAGTGGCTTCATTTTGTGATAAGTCGTGATCTGTTACTAGAATGCGTTTTGACGGGAATGTGGATTTAGTTTTGGTGATTATTCATTATCTTATGAATCTATGATCATTGGTAGTAGATCTAGCGTTAAGAACTTCATCTTGTATTGTAATCTTGCTTAGAGCACAAGGCAAACAAGAGTCTACCTGCTATGATTTATTTTGCATTAAAGATCATGCCAAGTGAAATGAAAAAAAAAAGATTTTGCCAAGTTCTCTCCAGACAAACACACTAGAATGTCTATTAAGAATCAAATCAAACAGCACTTGAGGGGGAGCCAAGTTTCAGAGTGCGTGTGGACACTTAAACTAATGAGTTTGAATCCTCCCAAGAAACTTCCGGATTGGCCATTTTGGTCAAGCCACATAGAGGTAGTGGATGTGGGCTTCCTGAGCCCCAGTTATAGTTATAAGTACAAAAGTATAACTGGATTGAGTCAATTTACTATCTAAAAGGAAACAGCTATATAGATAGCTTGGTGATTTTATTGTTATAACTTTTATTCCTCAAGGCTCTAGTGAAGGAGTTTTGCTTCCATCATCCTAAGGTCCACATGTGAAATGTGGAGCATCTCACACTTTTCATTGGCCGACATGCGGATTTTTTTTTCTTTTCAAAGAGCCCAATTCATTCATAATATTTATATACTAAAGCTCCATAAAAAGATTGTGAACCTTAGGACCAGATGATCTAGATCAGATCTTCAAAAACTCAGGCAAACGGAACGCAGCGTAAATCATATACTTGTTGAGGTTATAAGATTGAACACTAGCACACCTGATGGGTATGAGAGCTTCTAAAACAATCATATGCTTGTTTTTTATTGAATGAGATGCTTACGTCTTTTGTTTGTCTTCTACTCTACATGGATTTAATATAACATTATGGGAACTGTTTCAGGTGAAGGTATTCAAGCAACCTAAGTATTTGGAAAATTTTGTTCAGTCAACATTCAATGCTCTTGGGGTTGATAAAGTTCATGGTAAATATACTTGTGATGCCTTTTTTTAATCACATATATAAAAGTGCTAGTGTTGCCAAAAAGGTTTGGAACTATGAAACATGGATAGTTTTAATTGAATATGTGGGTTAAATGAATCTATGTCATTCACAGTTATTATCATTTCTACAATTACTCTGGTTTCTTCAGAAATTTTGATTTTTTATGCAGGGAGAATTTATTCATACCCAAAATGCTGTTTTAGTTTTTTAATGCACATAATTCATTAAAAACCACTCCATTGCACCTTTTAGTTCTTAAAACGGTGCTCCTGCATATTTTGCACATAAGTCTTTCACCTCTTAGTTCTCAAAAATGTGTGCCTGCATATTTTGCTCATAAGTCTTTGGGTGAAACACTGAAACTAGAAGTAATGCAGGTTGAAATTTTTATTCCCTTATTCTGAATATTCCGTATATGTTTAATCCATTTGAGGTTGACTTTTCCTTCACGTTGTCATTTGTCCATGTTTCATGATCAAAAACAGTATATGCACAGTCCACTCGGTAATCCGAGGTGGAAGATAATGGTAAAATTGTGTACCCTTTGATTTGATTTACTTCCAGTCCTCCATATAGCTTTCTCGTGCATTTGTACTATGATGATGAATCAGGATTTGCTTGTTAAAGTCCCACATCAGAATAAGAAATAATGATGAGTTGATAAGATATTGGGCTTCACTACTTGATGGATTGAATTAATTTTTTTAGTGTGATTTGACTCGAGTGTCGTTTGACTTCCTAAACTGTATCACTTCCGGTTGTTTTCTACTTTTTTTTGTTATTTTAATTGGTGTAAGATTCTTAACATGAATTCTTAGATTTATGCTTAAGGCATGATTATACATCTTAAAGTTCTTAGTGATTTTGATCACATTGATATTTGGTTTCATCATTATGCAAATAGTATTTACTGATGGAAATTGGAAGATGTTATGAGCTATAATGTTTAGTTTGGCATTTTATGAAATTACTAACATGCATCCCTTACTTTTCTTCAATGACTAAAATCTTCATCTCTTTAAGTGTAGCAGGATGTTATACATTCTATCATCTATTGTATCAATTGCATTCTCGTGATTGCATTTTCTCCTGTGCAGGCGCTACACTTGTGGTCTCTGGCGATGGCCGGTACTATTCTAAGGATGCAATCCAGGTGCAATTTCATAAGATTTGCCGTCACTTTTAGGTTGTCTTAACTAGAAATTATCATGTGACTATGGGAGTTATTATGTCACCCTAAAACAGAGATCAGAAGGGCTGTCACGTTGTGATGC